AGCTAAAAATTGGCATTTTCCTATATAATCCTATAGTAAATGTACCTGTATTTTGGGACGGTCCCTCAAACATACCTGGACGGTAGATTTCCCTCAAACTTTGCATGTACACTTAAGTTAATGTAAGTTATATATGGTATAAAAATGAAGAGTTTCGCTATTGTAGTTTTCACACAATAAAACCATAGTCGGCCCCCTTAAGGTAGGATTCTTCTCTTTTTTCTGACTAGATGGAATATTCAAAGTACATTTGTTGATATGTCTTATAAATTTAGACGTAAGAGATTTAAAAGTCCATATTTTTCTTTCCTCATCACAATTATACAAGTTTAAATAGAAATGGTAAACTGCGTTTGAAAACTAGCAGGGACTACATTTTTTGCGGAATGGTGGTGTATGAATATATATCTTCTTTTCTGTCTCTCAAAATTATTATAGAACATTGAATTTAGTTATAATTTTTATGCAATCAAAAACTAGACAAAATTTTCAAATGTAAGTTAAATTAATAATAAGAGACTAAAGTTTCAAAATATATAAACAAGAGGCCCACGGGCCTTATAGGTCACCTGAGTATCATGTAACAACTTTCCAGCGATTATATTTGGTTCGTGTTTTAATCCAAAAGCCATGAAATTCACAAATTTTGAAGGAGGCACCATTGCTTATCAAAGGGCAGATTTCAAAGCATTAATTTATTATTAGTCAAAGAACCCCCTGGTACCCCTGACCCAGCGGCCCTGAAATTATCTATTTTGAAAGAGACCCCTTTCTTCATTATAAGGCCAGCATTTTTTTTATGTTTAGGTTTAGTTATGAACATGTGAATAAAAAACTCCCGAAGGAGAAGGAAATAATTTTTTTTTTGGATAAATCAATTATTAACATTTATACATTCTTTTTTTATGCTATTCTAATAGGCTCCTTACCACTGGACACATAATGCTTACAAATAGGAAAGTAGAACATTTAATTGCTTATTTCATCATCTGCCAGTTTGGGCCAGTTATATAAATTTTGTGATGTTGGTCAAAATATATTTTAAAAAAACAATTCTTTAAAAGTCTTTCAATATATCTTCATTTTTTAAATATGTGTAGTGTTAGGTGAATGTGTAGACATTGTTCTAAAATTTACTTGATGCCTAAAATTATAATTCCTATCATAAAACAGACAGGGGGTATTGGGAAGTAGGGTGAACATTTTTTCAATTAAGTGTAAAATAATTTTTCTGGCTGATACAAATGATACTACATGCCTGTATATGTTTGTATATTCTTGCCGCCTTTTAATAGTTGATTTTTTTTTATTTCTTCAGGTTATTGTTTATTTCTTCCTCAAATGGACTTAACTTCTCCCATAGTTTTATTCATTACATCTGATGCGTAAGCAACCCTTTTCTGAAGAATAATGCTTAGACTGTAAGCTATAACAGAGACCTAAACTGTAACAATGTCGCTGGCAATATGCAATAGCTACCACGGGCAGTTTAAAACCTGGGGGAGGAAAATAATTTACAGACAGATACTTTTGAACATGTTGAAACGAATATATAATTATCTCACCAGCATGTCATTGTGCAGCAAAGTCGTCAGCATTTTATTTGTCCTTTGAACGGGTGAAACATTTTGAATGGCACTCGTATCGATGAATTTTACACTAAACCAAGCTATCTTCTCAGATCTAGCTTTATTTACCCGCCGTTTCATCTTAAAAGCGGAAGTGCGAGTTCGTAAATTTGAAATCTCGATCCCGACTCAAATTTGACATCGGAAAGAAAAAATTGTTTTATTTTTTCTGAAAATTCAAAATCTTGAGCTGAGGGTTTGTGAAACTGAAAATAAAATAAATCCTGGCCTTAAATATGTAATTAGATTATTAGTATATTAACCAGGAGCAAAGGATAAGATGTTCAAAGAATTCATGCATTTCACTATATAATCATTAGAGCCCCACCCTAAAACAAGAACCCCTGACCCTGGGGCCATAAAATTCACAATTTTGGAAAAAGCACTCTTGCTCATCATAACTACATGTATGTACTTAGTTAGTTTATTTAATACCCAGGAGCAGAGAAGAAGATTTTCAAAAAAATCATGTATTTTCACTATATAATCAATAGAACCCCGCCCTAACACAAGAACCCCTGACCCTGGGGCCATAAAATTCATAATTTTGGTAGAGGCACTCTTGCTCATCATAACTATGTACTTAGTTGGTTTATTTAATACCCAGGAGCAGAGAAGAAGATTTTCAAAGAAATAATGCATTTTCACTACCTACTTATTTAGCCCCGCCCTAGCACTAGAACCCCTGACCCTGGGGCCATGAATTTCACAATTTTGGTAGAGGACTCATTGCTAATTACAATCATGCAAACAATTTGACAGCTTCATGTCCAGGAATAAAGAAGAAGATTTTTAAAGATTGCATTAATTTTAGTGGTTTTGGCCCCACCCCTCAGGCCCCAGGGGGGCAGGGATCATGAAATTCACAATTTTTGTTCCCCTTCACCCATAGATGCTTTGTGCCAAATTTGGTTGAAATTGGTTCAGTGGTTGCAGAGAAGAAGCTGAAAATGTTCAAATGTTAACGCACGACGGACGACGCACGACGCACGACGACGGACGAAAACAGATAGCAATAGGTCACCTGAGTTTACTCAGGTGACCTAATAAATAAGATTTTTCGCACATACTAGAACTATGTTGGCTTTTAAATGGTTCAAATCTAAGTACAGATTTAAGCCAAAAATCTATAAAAAGTGTTTTTCTCTCTTAGTAAACGATCAAAACGTTTAGTTTTTGTATCATTTTGTACCTGTATGTGAAAACTTTACTATATGTGAAAATTGGAAATAGATAAATATAGGAAGCATATCAAAATAACTTATAAATCCTAAGATTTTAAGAAAAGTAGAGGAAATTCGGATTAGCAAATATCCATTTTATTTGAATGTCAGTTTGGTAATATCAATCTTAAAGGCCATATATGGTAGTATCTTTTTACGCAAAAAGAAAAACATTCAATCTTTTGAAATACAAGTAAGAATCGCATGATTGGAAAAAGTATAATTATTTATTCTTAATGTCCAGGAAAAAGGTAATGACCTTGACCCGACCTTGCCTCTAATATTAAACGGTCAAATTAAACAGGTCTGGATGATTTCTAAATAAGGAAGTCAAGAACGATAACTGTGAATTGCTATTAATACACAGAATAAGCTAGTCCTTCTGACCAATCAGATAACAGCATTTAGACAAACCCATGAGAAAATAAATAAAACACATGGTTTTTAAGTTTATTACTCAAAAGATTTTTTTAGAATAAACTTTTTGTAAACTTTACGCGCATTTGGGAATAATATAATATTTATGACAATTCTACCGTGAACAAACACGACTTAAAACCTCAGAATACGTTTTAAGTGGGATAAAAAAAAATCTGTCTCTAGAAGGTAGCCATCCTTAAAGTTTAACTTAAGTTAAAATTTGATATAAATACGGTAAATTTTCAGTTTTTAGAGCCTGACATAAAAATCTTATCGAAAAGATATCAGTCTTTATCATTTTTGAGTGTTTATTACAAAATAGTCCATGCAGTTTCTGATATGCGAGGTAAGATATTGGGATAAAACGCATTCATGTATAATTACAGGATTCTCTTTTCTCCACGTTATACGCCTTTCCTTATGCCAATTCAAAGTCTGCATAGCTAAGTATTATGAAACCCGTGATAATTTAAAACTATATGTGTATTGTCCATACAATAACCACTTGTGTGAGTTGATCTATACACATGGAATTTAAGCATTATCGATGAAAATCGGACGGCTAAACAAAATTATATTTACCATCATAAAATATATTTTAGTAAATGTTATAATACAACTTGATAAAAACTTGCTGGTGCGATCTATACCTCTGTAAACGATTACATTCTACTGTGCATTTTTTTTTCTTTACCGAAATAAAAATGTCAAGGTTGTTCACGGTAAAAATGTGGGGAATACCTTATTCTTCAAAAGTTTTCATCTTACTTCTACAGATTTTTTGTTAAAAAAATCTTTTTGAGGAAAAAAAACCACAGCACGTGTTATCTTTTTGTTCTTTTAAGATATGCTTAGGGGTGTGTAAAAATGCTGTTGTCTGATTGGACAGAAAAAGAATTACGTGTACTTGATGTACATTTATAGCAACTTTCGGTTATCGTTCCTGACTTTCTTATTTAGAAATCGTCCAGACCTGTTAAATCTCACTTATACCATCACTTAGTGATATTGTCCTCTTGATTCTGTGAAAATTTCATTAATTTTTAAATACAAGAAATGTGAGAAGAATCCAACCTTAAATAATTATATACTAGTGTCTTCTTAGCAAGTGTTTTTTGTTTTGTTTTTTTTTTTTTGTTATAAAGGTAAGACTGTATCCCACTCTTTGATTTCTTATGAGAATACTTTTGTCATAATCATAAAAATAATATGTTTTACGGCGTGACCGTTGGGGCGAGCGCAGTTGTACTATCAAAAACACTTTAAAAATAGATCAGCGACTTCAAACATCAAACCGCACGAGATATCTCGGCTAGCTATGACGTCACATGACGTCACGGAGCTCGTCAGAGCTTACGGAGACAACCGAGCGTCTGGTTGAAACTATAGACCTAGTGCAATTTTGTTCGAAAAACATTGCAGAATCATTTTTTGTTTCTTTGAAAGATTTCTACAAACTGAAAGCCTTTTATGCTTTACGTTATTATTTATTTATTTATTCGCGCAAAGAACATTGGGTAGTAAAGGAATTCTGGGAATGTTTCACAAGAAATTTTGCCTGACGTACGTACAGATTTCATTCCGAATTTCTTCTGTTCTTACACGTTAGTCAATTGAGCTCGCTTCTCTAGCGTCACTGCGCTCGCTATAATACTTGCTTATGCACCAGGATTCATTATCACAATACATTTAGAGGAAATGTCCATACCCTGTCATGTTGTCTATGGATTTCATCACTACTTCTATGCTGCTTATGGAGAACAACTCCTGTTCTCGTCTTCAATCCTCTGTAGTTATGTGAAAGCTTTCCTAATATAAAAAAAAATGAATGGTGCAATTATGATTCTTATACCTTTAAATATTATTCCTATACAAATCTATACGAAAAAAAGTCTAACATTTCTAATCTTTTACTGAGCGGGCATAAAAAGTCAATGTTTGAGCGCTGAGTGAGATGTTGGACCTGTAGATGAGATGTTGGGCCACTTAGTCACACAATGGTCGGAGGTTAATCTCATTTTTAGCCGGGCTTATTGCTCAAAGAGCAATTGCCGGCTTATGTGATCCTGTTCAAGGCAGGATGTTGACCCCATAGTCTCCATTTTAAAGTTACGTGCAAAAATATAGTTCTTACTTTCAACCGCTTTTGAGATAATACAAACGCTAAATAAAGCAACAAAAATAAAACAAAGATTTATCTATATAAAATAAACATTAGTAGTAATGACTTTGAAAACTTAGTTCATTAGCGTAAGGATTTTTGATAATCAGTGTTACCGTAGTTCTCTACACATACACAGTAAAGTAGGAGAGGGAACCAGACTGGCCTGTTTGTTTACATTCAGCTGCGATACCAGATTAATTCTGATTCTGACAAAAAACATTCTGATTCGGACCGTGGTATTAGGATTGAAAAACTCACTGTCAGTGTCTTATCATTTATATTGATAGTTTTAAAATAATTTTTTCATCAGAATATAAACGTGATTCATGTAAGAAATCCATTCTACTCTGTAAATGAGCCCGGCTCTCTGTACTTCTGAGTACTTTGATAATTCCTTGGTGTTCAACATCGACGGACCTGATGTTACATCACGGAAGACATTACAAGATACATGTATGTCCACAAAATAAAAAAGTGAAAGGTATAACAAACATTTATTGACTGTGTGTTCACGGGCAAAATGCTTTTTGTCGACCCTCGAACAAAACTGTTTGCTTAATAGCCTCCGGCAGACAGTTTTGTTCATGGGGCCGACAAAACGCATGTTGCCGTCGAACCTAGTCAATAAATGTTTAATGTTTTCCAAATAATGTAATGCGTACAAAAATGTGTAGTTTTGAATTATTCTTAAATTACGTATTAAATTGATTGAAGTAAGTCTTTACCTCCGTGGTCTATTTCTGTTGATTTGTATTCCCACGTATCCTTATTTTCTACCTTAGAAATAAAAAAAAACTAAATCAGATCAAACACTGGGACTTCCTTATTTCTAGATCATGCAATAACTAAATTCAAAATCTTACAGACCTTATAATTTGCTGATAGTGTTCCAGTAAGAGCCTTTTTCATTGTCATTAATTCGAATTCGTCATCGGGATGGACATGGACGAATTGAATTAACCCTGATTGTTCAATCTCAAAGAGGAAGCTAAAATTAAGTCAAATCATTTTAAATAATTGAATTTACAGAAAAATAATTCATTAAATTTATATTTTTAATATTTAATCTTTTTGCATATGCAGTATTAACACAAAATTTGCAGCAAAAGACTCAAATGCAAACCTTTTTGTTAGATCCCACTTCTTCGGATTATCAAAAACTACAAAACATAGTGAAATTGGCATGATACAGCTGTTTGATATTTTCAACTTTTTGTTCAAGGAAAATGTGTTTTTTTTTAAATTAAAAATTTAAATTACATATCGATAAAAATTTATGTGTGATTAATAATAATTTTTTTTAGATAATTTAACGTACAATAACCGTCTTGTGTTCTCATAGTCACAGCATCGAAATGAAGTTGGTGTAGAGAGGCACCATTGTCAGTTCTGTTGACATTCCTGATTCGAAACTATGAACACAATGTAAAGATTTTTTTTATATATAAGACATCCAAATGCGAGTTTTATCTACTGCGAAAACTAGCCCAACTGACGAAATCTAACAAAAATGTATAAATTCTCTTTCGGGATGGTTTAGCTTGAGGACAGCGCCATAGCAAAAGTATTCGCGATTTTTAAAAATGGCGACGGCTCATTTTCGCGTCTCGAGTAGGAAAAGAGAGATAACTCTATGGAAAATAAGAGTTATCTGTTTATTTTTTTAAGGAGTTATGTTAATGTAGGAAATGACGTAATTTTATATTAAATTATCGTCTGCACTTCCGTAGTGAATGTAAACAAGCAGAATTTAACCATGGGTCGAAAATCTTCTGAGCTGAGTGCTGAAACTAAAAATCTAATCGTAACTTTGAAAAGTGAGAATCACAAAACTTCAGAAATAGTTCGTGTGTTGAATATTAGTGAATCTACCGTGAGATCTGTTTGGAATAAGATTATTCAACGGGGAACTGTTAAAAATTTACACCGAACGGGAAGACCTCGAAAGTTGTCACACAGAGATGAAAACTGGATTATGCGGACGGTCAAAAGCAACAGATACAGGACCCTAAATAATGTTACGTTAGATTTAAATGAAGGAAAATGTCCTACAGAAACTGTAAGTAAATGTACAGTCCAGAGATTTCTTAGAAAAAAGGCTATCAAAGAAATTTGTGAGAAAACGGATGGTTGTTCGTGAAGTTAATCGGAAAAAGCGATTATCTTGGTGTTTGGATAAACGACGACTGACAGTGGAACAATATTGGCAAAATGTCATATTTTCTGACGAAAGTCAAGTTGTAATATTGGAGATAATCACCGGGTTTATGTCTGGAGAAGAGCAAATGAGGCGTACCTACCCCAATGCATGTGCCCTCCCCGTAAATGTCGAGTTGCAGTTATGGTATGGGGATGTATTACTTACGATGGTGTAGGGACTTTGTGTCTTGTCAATGGCAACATAACTGCTCAAAAGTATATAGATATACTCGACGAACATTTGTGGCCAGTTATAGCGAGGCATTTTCCCAATAAAACTTAACCTATTTCAAGATGACAATGCACCCGTGCACAGAGCCAGGATTACGTGTGAATATAAGACAAACAACAGCATTCCTTCCATCACATGGCCGGCACAGTCCCCGGACATTAATATAATTGAAAATATTTGTTTGAAAATAAAACGTTCACTTCAAAACACGACCATAGACATCAAAACCCAGGACGAACTTTTTAATGCAATACTTGACATCTGGCAAAACATCGCCCTTGTGTATGTAAGAAACCTATTCCTATCGATTCCCCGTCGGATCCAGGCAGTAATAAGATCCAAAGGTCAACTCACAAAATCTTGAAAACAGTAAATCAGTTTTTCATACTTTTAAAATAGTTTTATTTTGTTATGCGCGTCCTTGTTTCCGGCCGCCATTTTGAAAAATCGCGAATACTTTTGCTATTGCGCTGATATATGCTTTCAAAAAATAGTACATTGTTATTCAATGATTCATTATCGAGTCGACATATGAATGAATGTAACAAATGATACCTTCGTCGATAAATCCGAATGTCAAGTTATTGATACAGATATCTTATTTTGGTTAACATAGTGAAAATCTATGATACAATGTTTTAGCAGTAAGGTATACAATACAACATGCGATCATGATTACAAGTATTAGAATCCAAACTTACCTTAATTACAACAGTAACGTTGTACATTCCTAGAGTGTTAGTGGTAGAGGAGTAAGTATAATGATGATGGTAGCCCTCTTCAAACCAGTAACAATGTGTCATCGCAAGAAACATGAACAGTACGATGAAGACACCCGACTCCATTATTAACTAGGAGTATAACCTGTGAAAGAGAATAATGGTTAACTCATATTACAAGAAAAAAATACATGTGGAATTCCATATAATGGAGCTTTTTAAATGTAAAACCCCTATTTACGATATATCTATACTTACCTGCATCAACTTTTTGCATTTTCCCCGAGCTGCCTACGATTTTGCCTGAACTTTTGAGACCACCCCTGTGGTATCATACACTATGTGTATACCCATAATGCGCTAGCACTTCCGCTTCAGTTTTGTGAGGACCTAGAGAACTAGGACCCAAATAAATAACTTATAAGGGGTGGGTGATGCAGGTAAGTATAGATATATCGTAAACAGGGGTTTTACATTTAAAAACCTCCAGTTTACCTCAATATCTATACTTACCTGCATCAACTTTTTGCGGAATTTGTGCAGAAATAGGGCGGGACAATGATTAAGTTAATTTACTAACTATAAAAATAGTAAAAATAAAGATTGCACTCACCATTACAGGTGTACTTTATTTCTATTCTTTTCCCTTTGCCCATCTGGATGTGTCAAGGACTGAAGACTTGGCAAACCGAGCTTCACCTTTAGGAACATCCCTCATGTAGAATGAAGTAAAAGTGGTTTCTGTTGCCCAATGAGCCGTCTGTAATTAAATTTCTTCTACTGTTGCTCCATTGAAAAGGGCCCATGAAGTTGCCAGTCGTCTTGTGTCAAGTGCACGTATGCTACCTAAAGGTTCACTACTGTCACTGTGTTCATAAACAAACTTGACCAGAGATACAATACATCTTGATATGGAATTCTTTGATGCTGGTTTTTGTAGATCTGATTTGTAAGTTAAAAACAAACACTTTTCATTACCACGAGAAGACTTTGTTCTTTCCAGATATATTTTTAATGCTCTGCATGGACACAAAAGCAAGTCTCGACTGTCTGTTGCAAAGGTGTTGAACTCTGGTATGAACATAGGTTTCCATGGCTTTCCCAATCTGAGTTTTGGCCAAAAACTGCATATTTGGTAAAAGTCGAATTCCGTTCCTTTCTAAACGCAAATGCGTCTCTCCCGTAGAAAGAGCATGAATTTCACTCACTCTAGAAGCTGTTGACAATGCTACTAGAAACACAGTTTTCCAAGTAAGAAACTTCATATCACAAGAATTCATTGGTTCAAAATGATAATCACACAATTTCCATAGAACTGATGGTAGATCCCAATTTGGAAGTAATGGTCGTACATTTGGTTCAGAATTATAGATTCCTTTAATTAATTTCGATATATCAGTATTGTTACTGACAGAACTGTTATTCCAACCTTTGTGAATAGATGCTATAGCCGATCTATAACCTGTAATAGTGTTTGGCTTACAACTGCGTTCTTCATGCAAGTAGATGAAAAAGTCGGCCAAATCAGCTACAGAGGCCTCAAAAGGATCTTTCTGGTTTGAGGTGCACCATTCTCTGTAGATACGTAGTCTAGCATCATACATTTTTCTTGTTGATTCTCTGCGAGAGTTGGAGATGAAGGACTTAGCTTTTTCAGAAAATTGATGCGCAAGTCTTTGTTGTTTGAAATTTTCCAAACGGCCAAATGTAGACTTTCTGGACTTGGATGAATGAACTGTCCCCTCTTTTGTGTTAACAAGTTTGTTATTATTGGTAGTTCCCTTGGAAAGTCTATTAACAGATTGAGTAGGTCTGGAAACCACGACTGTCTTGGTGAGAACGGAGCTATGAGAAGAAGCACACACGTTTCCTGTTCTACTTTTTTCAGCACTTTTGGAATTAGTATTGGTGGTGGGAATGCACATGCAAACATTCCTATCCAGTCTACAGCTAGAGCATCGCATCCCCATGCTAGAGGATCCGGGAAGGGAGAACAAAAAACTGTTAGTTTCCGATTTTCCCTTGTCGCAAACAGATCTATGTTTGGAGTGGAGAAAATGTGAAAAATCTGCTGAACTACTCCCTGATTGAGACTCCATTCTGTCATTTTCGGAATTTGTCGTCCTCTGGACAACTGGTCTGCTATCACATTCCTTTTCCCGGGAATGTGGGCTGCATGAAGTTGAACACCCCAAAGGCGACATCAATGCAGAAGCCTCCATGTCAACATGCACAGGGCTGGAGATTTTGTTCCTCCCTGGCGATTGATGTAGGACACTACTGTTGAGTTGTCTGTCCTCAATAGGATCTGTTTGTGTTTGACATTGTTTTTGAAGTGATGAAGGGCTTTTTCCACTGCACTGAGTTCCAACAGATTTATGTGTGATAGTTGTTGATAGTTGTTCCTCCACTGACCATCTGCCTGACACATTGCGATCTTCTAGGTGGGCTCCCCATCCGTAAGATGAGGCATCTATCCACAATGTTAGATCTGCCTTGAAACTCAGGATAGATGTCCCCGCAAGGACGTTTTCTTGCTTTGTCCACCAAAGTAGATGTGGAATGAGGAATTCGCTGACCTGAATCATGTGTTCCAGGTTGTCCAAATGTGGACGCCACTGGGATAATAGGCAGAATTGAATTGGGCACATTTGTAGTCTGGCAAAAGGTACCAAGTCTATGCAGGCTGCCATTAGCCCAAGGACTCTGAGAAAAGTATGTGCTGGGATAAAGGAAGCTGTAACCATGGTTGAAATTACTCCACAAAGACTGTGGAAACGGTCCAAACTTGGGTAAACCACACCACGTTGGAGGTGAAATAGAGCTCCCAGATAAGTAATCTGTTGAGTTGGTTGTAGTATTGATTTCGATTGATTTATCACCAAACCTAGATCCATCAGCAGCAACAGAGTTCTCTGAAGTTGGTGCATTAATGTCATTTGATCTGCATTTTTCAGCAGCCAATCGTCCAAGTACATGTAAATGAAAATCTGCTGACTTCTGAGATGCGCTCCTACAGCTGCCATTAGTTTTGTGAATACTCTTGGAGCTGTTGCAAGACCGAACGGCATTGACCTGAATTGATAATGGTTGTTGTCTATGCAAAATCTGAGGTATTTTTTGTCCTCTGGATAAATCGGAACATGTAGATATGCATCCTTTGGGTCTATTGATGCAACCCAATCTCCTACATTCAAAGCTTGTATGATTGACTTCAGAGATTCCATCTTGAAATGCTGATTGTGGAGAAAAACATTTAAGGGTTTCAAATTGAGAATTGGACGGTACCCTCCGTCTCGTTTGGGAACTACAAAAAAGGTGCTGTAAAACCCGTGACCTTCCTGGGCCTTTGGAACAGTCTCTATGGCATGCTTTTCTAATAAACTTTCAATCTCTTCTAAAATACATTGTTTTTGAGCAACATTTTGTACATTTGTGATTCTTACTCCTGTCTTTGGAGGATGGTTTAGGAAAACAAGCTTGAGTCCTTCCTGGACTATTTTCAAAACCCATTCGTCGGATGTAATTTTCATCTACTCCCTGTGGTAAGAAAGGATCCGACAGCCTACTTTGGCTTATTTCTGCAACTCTAGGCGAGTCTATAGTTGAACTTGTAAGCTTACTTCTGGGGACGAAACCCCAAACGATCTTGGGCCGAGCTACGATTTTGGTTTTTGAAAGAAACCTGAGAATTCAACTTTCGCCCTCTTCCCAGGCCAGTCTTTGCATTTCTGTCAGTAGAAAACTTCCCCTTCTTTGCAACAGTTGGTTGCTGTTCTTTCTGCTCTGAAGTACCAGCTGACTCTTCTCTTTTCCTCTTTCTTGCAGAATTCGGGTTAGAACCATCTCTCTGCTTTGAATTTCTCAAGTGGTGTGTTTCTTTAGCATCCCGTAAACTTTCTGCACTTGAGTGAAGGATGTCAAAATATTTCCCACAAAAGAGTTTAGGATTCAGAGTAGACTGTACAAGGAGTTTATTTTCAGTTGCCTTGTTTTTAAATGCGAGATCTTCGACGTGAATGGCTCTTCGTGCTGCAACTGCACCCACTAAGATACGTGAAGTAACATCATCCATCGACTTAAAAACTTGCATCAGTGCTTGAAGGGCCTCTGTCTTGTCCTCATCAGATACTACATTATCCACATACGAGGTAATAAGAGAAGCATAAGTCAACTCTCTCAGAAGAAGACGCGACCCTTGATCTATCTTCCACAACTCATTGCTACGTGAATGCAATGTTTGATTACGGAAACGGTAAGAATTTTTATTACCTTTCCTTGCGAAGCTACTGTCCTCGATGTTATCATCAAGTCGTGGCGTTGTGCAATATTTATCAAAATCTGCAGATGTTACTCTGTACTTCTCATCATCTGAAGCTTTATAAGTGCGTATTGTACCCTTACGCTGGAACTCCTCATCAACGTCCGTTAACGTGTTCAAGATGTAACCGTCTAGAGGCAATGCTTGTTGTTGGGTACACGTTTTTGACCCTATCAAGCGTTCTGACATATACGACTTGAAATCTCGATCCTGATTTTCAGAAGTTTTCTCAGAATCTATTTTCAATTCAGAAGTAACCTTCTTAACAAAATTTTTCCAGTCAACTGTACATGAATCATTAAATTCTGTATGCACAGAACCTGCAACAGAGTTATCAAACTCAGACTGGTTGTCCTCATCATGGACTTGAACAATATCGTCAATTTGTGAATTGTTCACAACTGGATCGTTGTCACCTCTGTGACTGATGAGATCATCATCATCTGACTCTCTTGAGTGTTGATCATCTGAAGGTCGAAATCTATCGAACCTCGTAGACTTACTCTGTGAACTTGTAGCAGACGGTTTTTCAGTCTGTTTACTTGCGCCATGTACTAATTCTTTAACTCTGGCGTCTATCAAATTTCGCATGAAATTTTCTTGATACTGCTGCCACTGAGTTTCAAAATTTCCCAGCGTGAAAGGGGGTAAATTACTCATTTGTGATGGGAAAAACCCCTGTGTCAAATTGCCGCCATTTTGTCTCTCGTCCGAGAGAGGTAGCGATTCTGATACAACTAGGTTTCCCGCAGAGGAAGCTTGTGAATCAGAACAAGTATTATTCCCCACAGAGGGAATTTCTGTCGCTGGATTTGACACCGTGGCCGATTTCTTACCAGTTTCAGATTTCTTGCGTTCAATCATTTTATTCATTAACGCCCGCTTTTCCTCTGTCCAAGTTATGCAAACTTCACAGGGAAACGCTTCATTGCAGACGCGATGTCGATAGCATTCTGCGTGATCGTCTAAAACTGTCATTTCTCTGTTATATTTTTTACATATTTTGTACGAATCAGACATCTTTAATCGCAGGCTTAGAAACAAAAATTAATCACAGAAGAAAACGCGCAGTTTTCTTCCAAGATGCCCGAACAAAACTGAAGCGGAAGTGCTAGCGCATTATGGGTATACACATAGTGTATGATACCACAGGGGTGGTCTCAAAAGTTCAGGCAAAATCGTAGGCAGCCCGGGGAAAATGCAAAAAGTTGATGCAGGTAAGTATAGATATTGAGGTAAACAGCTCCGTATTTGTAAATAAAACTTTTTTTGCCGCTTTCTCTAAAAAAACATCAAAATTTTCATATAATATATATATAATATTTAAGAGCTAATAATGGTCTATGCTGAAACCATTCTTTAAACGTGATGACCTGCAGATCTACAAAATAAAATTTTGCTGTGGCATTCCTCCGTAAAACATCCTGACTGAACTTACAGGTATTCTGCAATTGAAATTAAAAAGATGCTTAATAAGTTTCTTATTGACAATATCTTTTTTTTTTGTTTTTGGAGACGAGGTCTTCCAAAAATCAATTGGAATTCAACTGCATCACGTTATTATCAGGCCTATTTCTGTATTCATGTGAAGCAGAATTCTCGTGAGGAAAAAGAAAAATAAACACTTGTTGTGGCCTGAAGCTCGACATTTAGATATATCGACGACGTATTGTCGATTTAAACTGAACACGATTCGTAGAAGGAATGTGTCCGCCATTTTTGTTCGGAGAATCGCTATACCTGCAAACCCCTATATAAAAGGCAGGACTTTGTCACTGTTCAGTGTAATCACTCGACACCGGTGTAGATGGACATATGCAATACAGCACTCGTTAGCGACAATGATAACGAAATACTTCGTCTAATGCAGGAATGTAAGATACCAAAGAAACTTACAGTTGTACAGGTAAGTGCTGTATAAAAACAAACACAGATACACGTAATTGTAATATGAAAAAAAGGTAATGCAAGATAACCAGAACGAACACGGGTCGCCATTCCACGCCGATACCCGTGACAATAAAGCAGTCAGGTGTGACGAATCTGAAGAGTATACCATGAGGCCTGTTCAGCAGAGGAGAGCGAACGTTCGCCAAAATTACTATTGTAGGTATAAGGAATTGTGGCGAGCGCTCGCGAGCATTTGCCAAAATTATTTTTTGGAGGTATAAGGAATTGTAGCGAGCCCTCGCGAACGTTCGCTCTGCTGAACAGCTAGCCCTCTAGTGTTGATGTATCGTAGATATTGATATCGAAAATGGCGTATGCCTATTTAAGAGTCGTGTTCAGCTTTAACAATGGTTATTTTCATTCTAATGTCGATACGAAATATTCCTGTGGGCTTGAAATAAAAGATACTACAGAGTCTTACACATCTGTTTCATATCTGGATTTTTACTTTAACTAGTCGTTAATGGTAATCTAATTACCAAGCTTTATGATAAATAACTTATACTTTTCAATCGTCAACTTACTTTTACTTATACAGCAATATACCTTCATCACCTGCATACGGGATTTACAACTCTCAGTTGATTTTTACGCAACAGCATGTTCTATACGTATACGTACATTATTGACACAAATTGCTGACACAAGAATATCAACAGTCTCGTTTAAAATCATCATTTCGTAAGTTCTATAATGGTCGATACAATGACCATGTCAGCAAATACAATTTATCATTATGTCTAATCCTGACTGACATCTTCATAATAATTATTAGGCCATTATATGCAAAATTAATTATCGATGGATTTTTCCGTTAATTCCCGATCATGACAAGGAGCCCTCTTATGATTTTTGGAGATCTAATGTTTAATTAATAGACCTTTTGAGTTTAAATACTGTTCTCCATATATTCTGTCACTACATACATTTTTTTTATTAAAAAATTATAATTTTTAAAGAAATTTTGTTTATATTTTTAGAATGGTGCCCTTCTTGGATGCTACGTTGTTGTTGCGACCCCTTTTATACTTCATTTAATTATTTAAAATCTACATTTTTTATCAAACTGTCTTTTTATAATAAATCCGCGATTTTATACCTAATCACTTTGAGATTAGTTTGAGTATTAAGGTTAGAACTGAGGGGGAAAACAGTTCAAATCTACCATATAAGTTGAAATTTAAGCGAGACGCAAATTTAGCAATTTTACCATAAAAGGGGGTATTTTAATTTTAGCGAGCAGCAATTTAAGCGATTTAAAAATGCAGCTATAATAACTACAACGTAATTAATTTTTAGCGATCTCAGTACCCTCGCTAATAATGCCAAAATGAAATCCTCGCTAAAAATTCTGCTTATACGGTATTTTAAAATATTTTAAAAAATCATAAATCGACCCTCAAGTATCATTTTAAGTGATAATTCATTTCATTATGAAAAATACATGTATATATATACCGTCTTTTCCAGATTCGAACCTATTCTTAGGTTAAAGAAAATGTAACTAACTGCTTTTTTCATCTTTATGATAGACCCGCGTAACCAGTTCTGAATCTTTGTTAACAGGTCGTTAATTTAAGATGCACTTTTTCGAATCTCTATGGGTTTTTTTATATGCGCCTTTTAAACAAAAATTGGAAATATTACTTTTAAAGAAAATTGCAGACTCTAAATGTTCAAAGAAAATGAATTCTGTTTCAAAGAATAATTTTTTTACAACTACAGTATGTGGATTCCCTTCTGTAAAAAAAATAGGGGATCTTTCATAATTTCCAAATATCATTCTACATTCAATGGAACAACCTTTATATCATATAGAATTGAAAATGGTTTGCTGCTACTTTAAATTGCTCGTTTTATGTGCTTATACTTTTAGGGGGAAAAACACCGCATCCCACCCCTTTTTTAACAAGATGATCAACACATTAATTCATCAAAACCTTTTCTGGTGTCTTAGCAAACTTTTGTTTTAGCTTAAACATTATTCAGAAGAAAAAAATATGCAATTTTTTAAAATGAAATATTGTTTTCACTTACCGGTAGTGCATCCGTGCTTCAACTCGTCAGCGAATCAATGCACTGACTACGAAGAACTAAAACCAGTGTTTTGGGGCGATTTTTTTTTTTCTTTGTATCGTCAGATTTAAATTTCCTGATAAGATTTTGTATATGACCTTAAACAGAGAGTAGGAGTTCTTATCCGAAGATCGATCGATTTAATGTTAAAATTATATCATTTGTTTTCAATTCAAGGTAGGGTACTAGATTCTTTATTTCTTCAAACCGTATATTGAATGGTATGATATGTGAAGATGGGGAACAGTAATCATGCTCAGTACAGATTATGAGCAGAGCAAACAAATACCTCTGAAAAAAGGATGCTGAATGAGGTGCCATGGAGGACTAACCATTTGCTGATGGACAGTCACACCCGTTGTGTGTTCAGTGTCATTATCGGGCAATCGGAAGAACGTGTTGTCAATTCAGAATGAAAATAATGTTTCTAACAATTTTGATGGAAAACATTAGTCAACTAAATTCTGAAGATAAAATGATAATAAATGTTGCATTATTTCCACCTTTTGAAGGATTTTCCCTAAAAATGATTTTATTTATAAACATAAAAATTTTGATTTATTGTCTTAAAAAACGATATGAAAAATGAAGAAGCAGTTATTGAATAGAATTTAAGGCCTTATATGAAGCAGAACCTTATGCATGAAAAGAAGAAAATACTTGTCGTGGCCTTCAACTTGACATTTAGAAATATCGACGACGCATTGTCAATTAATAATGGTAATTTCCACTCTTACATGTATGTCGATACGATATATCCTGGTGAGCTTGAGATAAAAGAAATGCCACCGAGTCTGACACATCTGTTCCATATTTCGGATGTTTTTATTTCAAAGATCGTGAAAAGAGGGGTTGTAATGGCGTCTAAGTAATATATTTGTACATAATTCAAAGTTGTTTTTCCGCTAGTCGGAAAGGCCCGAGAAGTTGCGATTCAATTCAGGTCTCTAGTCAACTATAAGCATGTTGCCGGTTATTTCAACTAATCTGCAGAGATTACATGGTAAATACCTATAAGTTTAGTTTAAATGCACATGTTTATCAAACAGGTCAAGATCGACCCTTTCAGAGAGAGATTATATCCTAAAAACTCTCACACTAGGACAAGATACACGTAGGTTAGATCTACTTTTGGTTCCCGCTTTGGGGTAATGCAATCGTTTATAAAAAAAATAATTCGATGGATTATTGTTAGAAGCTGCTGAGATTCCTGTCACAAAATGAATATATAATTCACAGAGGTCACAGGAAGGTCACAAGACTTTTACAGCGAATTACGAAATAGTGGTTAAGTTTTCAATAGCTAGCTGGATAACTCAATAGGGTATAGAATTTGGTCTAACAAGTATCACATTAGGTCTGAATCTAGGTCATGAGGTTACTCAGGTGTATCATTAGTTTTTACAGGTAAATGTGAGTTGATTTCAATGTTCTATGAAGCCACGTATATATGCCAATGTGTTCTGCTGTAAATAAATGCATTATTCTTCTGTAATTGCAGTTTTTTTCAATGAATTTGCAGAATTAAAGAATGACACCCCCCCCCCTTCTCGTAAATGTTATTGTCTAACAAGGTTAGGAAGTTAGCTTCCCATTCCAATTCTCTCTTAACTCATTGATTATAAATAAACACATTGATATAATAATAATATACTAGATAACACCTAAATTTTATAATCATATTGAATGTATTAATTATCAGCATCTCTAAACCAAATAAGTTTCGTTATTTGGTAACTCTATGAAAATCTGTTTAAGCTAAGTGTTTTGCAATTTATTTTATTCTTTACATCGTTTAAGGTAGGATTCTTCTCTGGTTTCTGACTAGATGAAACATTCAAAGTATATTTGCTTATATGTCATATATTGAGGTGTAAGGAATTTAAAAGACCATATTTTTCTTTCCTCATCACAATTGTACAACTTTAAATAGAAATGGTAAACTGCGCTTG